TGTCACCGCAATGCGCTTCATGCGCCGCCTCGTTTAGTACTTTTCTTGCGGTCTAAGCCGGTCCTCCTCGACAAAAGGCTGCAACTGATGGTGTCATTTGGAGCCTGAGGGCAAATGAACGCAAGCTGAGCCTGGACGGCGTCCTCACGTCAATGTTGCCTTATTTCAAGCCCACTACAACGCCATCGATCGTAAGCAGCAACAGGAAGCCGTTGGAAACAGTCCACCGCATTCATTCAGCTGATGGCGCCCCATCTCTGAGAAAGGTAGCCAACGGATACCGAAATCAAGGGTGACTCCAAGTGCGGGTGATGGATGCATTATTCTAGTACGATGTGCCTATGTATCCATGTGATTTCAGGGTGCCAGCAGAGAGGCTTCCAGCGAAGCAATCAGAAACAGAATCGCTGGACACGGTATGTTGCGCACAAATGCTAAGCGTGTGGTACTTCCTGTGACGTAGCGTTCACCACGCGGTGGGCCTTCTGGCCAGCACCCGTGATTATGAGCGCGCTCCTGTGAAAGCCTGTGACACCGCTATGCAATACATGTTGTATGTATGGTTAGATACCCTAGGTGACCATCATCACCGGGTTGGTGGGCGGTTGAGTGCGAGTTGGTATTTCAGTGCCCCCTCCCAAAGATTGGTCCGTTTCTTTTGCGGCAAGCATTAAAGGGTTTCGGACTCAATGGAGCCACTCATCACAACGCCCACAACACAAGGGTCTGTGAACAAGCGTTGACTGCCGATGTTCACCGCTAGGATGGTACTCCTTTGAGACCTGGCTCATTGTGAAATGTAATGTCAAATCCAACAAGGAGGGAGCTTTTCGAGGAATCCGCGATGCTCACCCTCAAAAACTATTGTTTCAAAATGCTTCCTTGAAATAAGGAGCATAGAAACTGTAAGGCCGATGTCAGACTTTGCTTGTCTAGGGGTTTGCTCAAGTCCACGGTCGCGCTGCGTACAGCGAATTGAGCCTCGCTGTACCCTAGCGAATCGCTTGATTAGCAAAGCTTGATATCGGCCTAATTGTTTTGATAGATTGAAATAGGTGCCAAAGATGAGGTGAGGAGCAGTACAGATTGCAGATTTCAGGAATTAGAAATTGGACAGACAAGGAAGCAGTAGAAGCGAGAGGAAGATTAGTGATGCGATGTTAGAAACTAAAGATATTAAAGAAAATAATTGCGAAAAGCAGTGAGTAAGCTTACTGTGACGGTGACGGTTTACGGCAGACGACGTGTCTTGAATATCACGGGCATGTGGTTTAACACAGTGCAAGTGTTAGTGGTTGAAGAAGCCCAAACCAAACGTGCCCGACAACTAATCACAACCTACCGACCGAGATTCAGGAGCGCTGATGGCGCATACTGCGCCTGTGTTGTTGGTGAGTTCAGCGTTCCGGGAGATGGTGCAGTTGCAACAAAATCCTTCAAAGAGGAGCGTTCCACTGAGAGACCATAGGAGTAGCGATCCTGAAAATATGAAGCCCTCCAGCAAAACTTCACTCAAGCATCGCCTCAAGGAGCTACTAATAGTCAAATTACATACCTTCACAACCTCGTAAGCATCCATTATTATGGCAATGAAAAGAGATAGTACAACATAGATGAACATCGACACAAAGCAGTAAATGTAAACTGTTCCGAAAACCTGAAAGGGTGATCGTTTTGTGAGGAGCAGTTTGATAATAAGCCGAACATGCAAAATATCCAGCCAAATTACTAATTAGAATTCGGTTTGCCGGTAAAAAAATGACTTTGAGTAAGTAGAAAAGAATAAATAGATCCATTAACTTCAAAGACGCAAAGAATATCGAATTCATCGAGAAGGGGAAGAACAGGGTGAACGACTTTCGCGCAGTGCGATTTTTACCAACAGTTTTTTGCCAAGAGCATGCAGACTGGCTCTTAGCGAAACAATTGACTACCGGTTAGATGGAAATTAAACCTGGAGATGCTCCAAATCAGTTGCTTCCTCATCTAAAAGACACAGGATCCTGGCCCTTATGACACCAGACGACGAGGGTTACACGGCTGCAACGCGGCTATGGCGCACAGCTTAAGCACCAGCGCTGATTGAGACTTCTCCCAACGGCACATTCCCAAAATCCGACGGATGAAGATGAAGCCAACTCATAATTCTCCGAGTGTCATCTTATAGTCTCAGTGTGACAGGACGAAGATGGCATCTAGTTGTTCGATACTTGGATAGTCTTAATGCAATTGGTGATAGAAAAACTGCCCTTAAACAACATTGAAAAAATAAAAGAGGATGAAAATAGTGAAAAGTAGAGATCCGAAAAATCTTAAATAACACAAAGGTTCAAAGATAAGGACGAGAACGGAACCAGATTCAAATTTGCTTGCAAATTGATACATTCCTGAAACTTATTATTGTGCACCTTTCACATGATTGAGGGTATAAATACTGGGTTGATTGAAATGGAAAACTGCCGCAGGAATAGGAATCGGGATGAATTGAATTAGATCAACAGCACACAAAGACCGAACCTACTTGATAACTGTATTTGAATCGTTGATAGTGTAAAAAAAGGCAAACATGTCATCCCCGTTCATCAAAGAGAACAACGCTTCAGATGACTCTCCCAGGGTGCGGAACTGCAAGAACGCACGTGAGTCATCAGAAAACAAAAAGAAAAATCAAAAGTGAACGAAACAATAAACAAGCGTGATTCAATCGAACAACTAGAATGAGTAAGAGAAAACTGTGCTCACCTTCATGCTATAAGGTCCAATAATAACCCATCCAGCAATCAAGAATCCAGCGTATAGAACGATGGCGCAAGACATGAATCGTGCCATACTGGGAATTGATTTCTTCAAAGTGAGAATAAGGATCTGAAAAGAAGGCGAATCAGGAAATTCCAGGACGAAAAAATTAACGTTTGTACTCCCGCATCAGCCTTCGACTCTGAGTAGGCCTTGTAAGGTATTGTAAAATCTCACGTTGTATTGGTTGAAGAAGCCAAAGTAACGAAGCACACCGACGTAGACCAACAGAGCGCCCATGCCCAGCAAAATTCCAGTAAGTGTGAAAATTGAAGTTGTCAAAATCCTTAAATTTTTCATCATGGTGAACTATTAGTTGTTAAAGCGTATTTTTTCTCACAATTAAAGTTGCCAAAGAAAATATCTTGAAAGAAGCAGGCCAAATTTTACTCACCCGAAACTCTATAGAAATCTTACTTAACGTTCCAACAATGATAAGAATGTCGTTGATGACAATCATCACATACCTGTAAGGCAATAATATTATATAGAACAAAGTCTAAGGAAGGATTACAGAGAAAAAAGGAAAGAGAAGTGAGACGGGAAAATGATTACCAAAGATTGAGGAAGTCGAGTTGATCGGAAATTGACATTTTTATTTTGAACATATTCTCAAAATAATCTATCGCTTTCTGAAAATTTCTTTTTGGTCTCCATTATCGATTCCAAAATAAAATCAAAGTCAGCTCACGTTTTTCAACAAATGAGCTTTAATTAAAGCTCTGCAGCAGAGGATAAGCGAAAATATACACAACAGTAAAACAATAATATCAGTGATGCCCATAATTAGGGTATCGATGTTCGTTCCAACCCCTGAAAAGACACGTAAATGAAAATGAAAATCATGCCAGGTTCTTCCGAACAGTGAACAATGGCATGCTTGATAAAAGTTAATAGAACTACCTTTGATTACTCGTCCGTTGCACACAT